AAGTAGACGAGGTATCTGCGTATGTGTTTGACTGGCTTAGTCGCAAAATGCTGAGGCCAATGGGGGAAAGATGGTGAAATTGATAAGCAGCAAGCAAGACGCCTCCTTTTCTAGATAATCCAAAGTTACAGTCTAAATGATAAGGAGAGGAACAAATTTGCATCAACCACCACTGATCTCGCTGTTCTGAAGCGAATGGAATTCGACAAACCAGCGACGTCGGCCGATTCAGTAAAGTTGAAGCGACGTCAAGGTGCTTGTGAGGTGGAGTATATCGACACCGCACACCAGAAATTCTACAAGTATCTAGTGTTATACTGGACTAAATACAAGACCGACCAGGAAGCTTTCGTGTCTCGCTACTTGGCTTTAGTCCAGAGTCCTGGCTTTGGTAAGAGCCGACTCCTGCGTGAAGTATCCAACATGGCGAAGACTAATGGTGGAGACTCTGGAATTAGTCGATGAGAAAAACAAGTTAGCATGCGTGTTCTCTATACACGTGCTCGCATCGTTGGAAAGTCGTCAGGTTTTCCTCTCGCTACGCGGAGACTAACTGATCTTTTCTTTCGTGGACCGAGGAACATGGAGAATTTAGTACAACAACTGCTAAAGGCATTTACTTATGCCCAGAAGAATTGGGACAAAGTGGGCAAGAAGTGGTTTGAATCGTTTACGATCCCGAAGGCTGACAAGCAAGTCACTACAGCCATCACGAAGTATTAGCCTTATTATTTTTTCACACCGTCACGTTACCACACGTCGCAGATTTTGCTATCCCATCTTCCGACATATCCCATCATTTTTCACATCGTGCAAGCACCAATGCTGCTCCGCGGCATCACGTTGAGTGCTCGCGTCTCCGCCCCTGTGCGTCGAATCTCACCTCTCCACCGCAGACACATCTACAGCACGTCTCGGATCTTATCCGGCGCTGGTATATCGCCCAACGATGCTGCATACCCCGAGAATGATGCAGCCAAAGTGACCCCAATGGTGGCGCAATATCTCGCCCGCAAGAAAGAGTACCCAGGTGATTGCAACGACTTCCCCAAGTTTGTACCGTTTGTAGTAAGCAACACTCATTGATGGTATTACGGTGGCAGACTGCATGCTGCTATTCCAAGTGGGAGACTTTTACGAATTCTTCGGTGATGATGCGCGTCGAGCAGCTCATGTAACGTGGTCGGAGGAAGCATTGTGCTACTACAGCATCTAATATATTACTGTTATACGTGCTGTGTGTAGTTATTAAACCTGGCACTGACGAGGAAGACCAAGAAGACGCAAGTATTGAACGAGATGTGCGGATTCCCAGTGGGGTCGGTGGATTCGTTCGTGGAGAAACTGGTATAGTGGTGTTAGCGCTTAAAACGTGGGCAGCTATTATATACTAACTGACCTTTCAATTTGGTGTGAGCAGGTGATGCATCATGGCGTAAAGGTGGCAATATGCAACCAAGTTGAGGTGAGTCGACGGATTTTTGACCATTTTTAGAGGATATTCTTCTGATTTTTGTAAAATTGTGCCAGAGTGCATCTAGTGCGAAGAAACGTGGCTATAATGCTCTTGTCGATCGACAAGTAGTTCGGATTGTAACTCCGGGTTCTTTGGTGGAAGATACGATGTTGACGCCAAAAGAGAACAACTATTTAGCATCTCTCTTCTATGACGAAGATAAGTGGGGACTCGCGTGGGCTGATTTATCGACAGGAGAGTTCGTATCCACCACATCTACAAGCGAGAAACTCGCCAGCGCTATTTTGCGCTGTTCACCGAAAGAAATCCTACTGCCAAGTACTGAAGAAGAGTGCATGACGGTGGACATGCCCAAAGATGCCGTGGCACTGTTGGACGCTGTACTTCCAAACTCTTGTATGAGAACTTTTCGACCGGCTACGAGTTTTATTCCACGAACGTCAAGACGTCCACTTCGTGATGTGTTTAAAACACTTGACGTTTCTGAACAAGCTGCCGCGTCGGCCATCTTGGACTACATAGACTTTACGCATCGTGGTACGAGTGCGTTGATCCGTACGCCACTTCATGTCGAGTCTTCTGATCACATGATCATTGATTCGAGTGCATGGAGAGGTCTGGAGCTGGCTAAATCTCTCAGTGGCTCAAAGATGTCAAGTCTACTACAAGCTATTGACTCAACAACAACTCCAGGAGGTTCACGGCTTCTTGCGGTAAGTTACGAAGTTATTTTTTTATTTTACTTACAGAAGTAATTTATATTACTTTTTTTCTTATTGCAGTCTCATTTGGCGTCTCCTTTAATGAACCTGGAGCTTCTTGAACGTCGCTTGGATGCTGTCTCTTACTTCTACGGACAAGAACAATTGCTTCAACGCACACGCAGACAGCTTGCCGAAGTGTTTGACTTGGAGCGGAACCTCCAGCGTTTATCTATTGGCGTCGGCACTCCGAAAGATCTCAAGAATGTGGCGTCAACAATCGATGAAGCCAGGCAGTTAGTGGAGCTTATAAAGTCTCACGAACGACTAAGACACAGTCGACTACCTGATCTCCCTGGAAAAGAAGCTTTGTGCTTACCTCCATTGCTTCGTGACTGCTGCAATGGCCTCATTGCCAACGAATCGCCGAATGAAAATATCGCCAACGCTGCCACAGAAATTCACGCAGCACTTAAAGACGACTACACGACGCTTAACTCCAAGAGCGGGTTTGTTCGTGCTGGGTATTCTTCAGAGCTAGACAAGTGGCAAACGATACTCCGACACGACCCGAAATCCCCTGAAAAGCAGGACTTGCAAAGTAAATACCGCGAATTACTAGGATCCACGCGACTTCGCGTAATATTCCAAGCCGAGAAAGGGTATTTCCTTGATATCCCACACGACGAGAACGCCAAACTACTCAAGAACGAGCAAAGTCGACGTGAATTGGAGCAGTTAACACTCTTCCAGTCTTTGAAAAACTCGGTGCGATATCGTAGTGAGGAATTGCGTCAGATGAATCGGGAGCTTACGGAAGCAGCAGTGGAGGTGGAGCGTGTGGAGAATGATATTTTCTCGTTACTACGAGACCGAGTACTACTCGTACGCGACGAGTTACAAGCCATGGCTAGTGCTATTTCTCAGATCGACGTCGTCTGCTCTCACGCTCAAGTGGCTCTGGACCGAAACTTCGCTCGTCCATTACTGGATGGCAGCTGTGAACTGCACATCGAAGACGGACGCCATGCTGTAGTGGAAGCCGCGCATCTTCGAGGCTCTAACTCGAAAGGAATGCGTGCTTTTGTCCCGAATAGTCTGCATCTCGCAGCAGCACCGGTGGGCTCTTGTTGGCTGCTTACTGGACCAAATATGGGCGGCAAGAGCACTTTTTTACGACAGAATGCGCATCTCGTGGTCTTGGCGCAAATGGGCAGTTTTGTGCCCGCTAAGTTTGCGCGTGTTGGTCTCGTGGACAAACTTTTCTGTCGAGTGGGGTCTGCTGATGATCTGGCGGCTGATAAGAGCACGTTTATGGTGGAAATGCAAGAGACGTCGACGATCCTCACACAAGCCACGAGTCGCTCGCTAGTGTTGATGGACGAAGTAGGACGCGGGACGGCAGTAAATGACGGGGTGGCCATTGCGGGGGCTGTTCTTGAAGCGCTGTGTGCCAAGCAGACGCGGACTCTGTTTGCCACACATTTTACTGCTTTAAGTGAGTTAGTTGGGGACACGTGTAATGGAGAGTTGCGACCGTATCGGATGGAGGTATTGGAGCATCAAGTGGATGGAGAGACCAAGCATTTAGTGTTTTCCCATCGAGTCGTGGAAGGTCTGGCAGCTCAGTCGTATGGCATTAATACAGCAGCATTGGCTGGATGTCCACCTGTTGTCGTTGCTCGGGCAAGCGAGTTACTAAGCGAACTGACTCATGAAAACTCGAATAGTAGTCATACCGACCGATTGCAGCGTGTCCGGGCCGTATTAAGGTCATGGGAGTCAGAAATGGCAGGCAACGACGTGAGGAATTCTATCGACCCTCTTCAGATATTAGATGAACTGCATCAGATTTTGAACGAAAGTGTAGAATTTTAATAAAGGCTTAACTGTTGTTACTTCACTATCTTTAGTTCGATGTTAAGTCGTGGAGGAATCTCTTGTATCGGGTTACAATGGCCTCGTCAATTTGGTGTCATAGACGTCATCAAACTTGCCCTTTGTGAGGAGTAGCTTGGAGCGAATAGTGTCTGGTTCGAGTTTAGCGTTACTCCATCGCTCAAACAGCCATGTTTCGTAGTGCATGGCGGTGTCAGGCGTCTCTTTCGAGTTTGCAGGCCCCCGTGACGCCCGTGCTCGAGTGATCATTCGCGTAAGCGCGAATTCATCACCGAAGCCGTTTGTGAGCACCATTAACATTGTTGTCTTGTCTTCGGGATATTTGGACTTGAAAAGCTCCAGCCCCATCAAATCAAGATCTCCAAATTTCTGCTTCATACGAGTAAATAACCATTGTATTTGCCAGTGTTGATATTTAACAACAGACATCGCCAGGGGAGTTTCCACTAGCCAGCCAACCCTCCAGCTGTTATTCTTGCAATTTTGTCGCGAAACTCTTCATTCCGTTGTCTCCCTTGACTATTACAAGTGCCTTTGCCACTTTATCTTCTCTATATCTCGCCGTGAACTTCTCAAGCACTGAGCTTTGTTGCTGCGGGTAGTACTTTGAGACGTACTCAGCGTACAGCTGTATTTTCCTGTTGCTCAGAGCCTCATCCACGCTCTGGGGAATCATTATCCGCAACCAGACACTCAGTGGTGTCAAATGATCCTTATGACATCCTCTATCGTTTTCACTCACTTTGCAATTCGCTGTAAAGCCGTTCGAGTCCCAAGAAATATCTAAATATCAGCTCGACATTTCGTTGCAACTTTGTCTTATTGCGCGCCGTTGGCGCTGTCATCATTACATGGGTTGAATGTGAATGTGTCATCGCTTCGAAGGCGGCAGCAATCAAGACACCTGCTGGTGTGCTTTTCGTCACTGCTGGTCGAAACAACGTCCCAGCTGAGAGGCTGTTAAGAACTTCTGGAGCAACAAACGAGGAAGACGAAGACAGGGTCGACTTGCAGTCTAATCTACTTACCAAATGGCGAGAGAGTGTTTTACTGGCTCTGTGGAGCAGTAATGTATTTGCTGGTACGGAAAGCAAATTTTAAAGATGGTGATTGGAAATTCCTCCTTGCTACGCGATTCGTTCTATGATTGTTGAATAATGCAACGATGGTTGTTAGACCCTGATCGCAATCAATGCGTGCACTCTTTGGCTAAGTAATGACGTAGCTTTTGGTAACTAGATTTTTTTTGTTTAGAATAAGGCATTCGTGGCCAAATCACAGAGCCGCAAATGTCAGCACTAGTGCTGCATTTACCCCGAATCTTGAAGCACCCGACTATTCTACAGTTAACATTTTTGATGTTTTGGATTCTCAAAGTAGTCTTCACATTACCGGCTTAACAAATCGTGGACGAAAGTGCTGTTAACGGGACACCCGCTTCTAATCACAGCCAACAAAAAAAGAAAATAACCAAAACTTTCTTTTTATTTAAACTCCATTCGAATGGCCCAGATACAGTAAGAATCACCTACATGTATTATTTGAAATTAGAGAAAAAAGTAAAAAAAATGCCATGTAAAATATACGACATTTTTTTACGATATAATTGAGATTAAATCAAACCCGTTATTTAACGTTGTATTCGGCTCGAATGAAAGACAGCAACCTCTGCACTCTAAATCAATACTAAACTAATAAATCATGCTTGCTGCTTCACTTCTGGACTAGGTTTTGCAAACAACTCCGCTGTATTGAGCTTCTGTTGAGCTAAAACGACCAACATAAAGCCAGCTATGGGGCGCTCTACGAGGTACTGGAGGTACTAAGACTGCATTCAAACACTTCTATAGGCACACCAAGTACAATAATATACGCTTAAAAAATAATTAAGTCGTTCACTGGAGGGAACAATACAAAAAGGCTATACCAACTTTGATATTGTTTGAATTGAACGGCCGCTTTTGGTTGGTAATATTTACGAAGTTTTAATCTTTGTAGACACCACCTCAACAATAATACGTTGTATGCTATTCATGTCACGTTGGCGGAGTGACGCCTTTTCTTGTATACTACGGTATTTTCATGAGTTTGGATTTTTCTCGTCTTGACCATATAATCTCTCAATTTGAAAATTACATCAAATACTCATTTACACTACTTGAACGAGCTCAAGTTAAAACTAATCTTCCAAAAAGCCAAGAAAAATAATACGTGCACCAGCTACCTTGCCGTTTTCGGAGGGGTTTTCTTGTTGCGGGCAGATTGTCTTACTTGTGGTCGTCGGCTTATTCATGCCACACACACCTCTCGTGCTTTACCATGTTGAGTGGTGGCGAGCACTCACCTCTGGAAGGGCCGTCTGCAATCTTCACATCTATTTACATGGACCATTCTTCCACGGTGTCCTGGGTCAATTTGTCGTCTCCCAAATAATATTTTTTTTTAAACCTTTTGGTCCTGGGAGAAAGCGTACGGGTAACATGGGTGTAACCATTTGTATTTCAAAACTATAAAAGCAAGCTTTTTTATCCCTGAGCACTTGATATTGTAGTCAAGTTTGACCTAGTTTGCCTTTGATGCCAACACGAAAATAAATCTGTAATACACTTGCTCAAGCAAACCCCTTCTATCATTGCTACAAATTTCATTTGTTTAGCTATCCACTGGTATAAGTCTATATAAAAACATTGTCGAATCCTTCCAAATATCTCTATATAACTTCGTATCACAAAAGTTGAACCTGTCGTTTTGTTGCAAAGTCTAGCTCAAGGACATTCCTTCATCTTTCCCCTCACGCACACGAATCTGCGGTTGCATTAAAATTGGCCTCAAAATTTGTTTTAGAAGTTGAAACCACAGTACGCGCACAGCCAGGAAACAAAAAAAAGGTTAAAATACGGACCCCCCCATTCCTCACTATTATTACTGTAAATCGAGAAAAATAGAATACTAGCGATTTGGCAACGGTCGCCGAAAGGTTCTCGTTCTGTGACGTTCTTGCGTCATGAAGAAGACTAAGAATAGCCTCTGCTTTACAGAGGCTATTCTTTAGTCTTCTACTTGTCGTGCATAACGACTTGTGGACTGTTGTGTTATAAGCACCACTTCAATCCGCTTCAACACTAACATAAGTTTGAAGCGGGTAATAACTAATTATTTCCCTCCCACCCGCATGTCCATGTTGCGTGGACGCATCTTTCCGAGAATTTGCCCTGTTAATTTGTGAACTGATTAGACAGGTAGTCACTTAATTTCCCTTTCATATCCGATCCATTCGTAGCAGGACTGGTGTGGTCCACATCCAACGTTATCGTGCACTTTTTGGCTCGTTCAGTTGAGAATCTGCGTCAAAGTGCTCAAGTCGCTTTCAACGAACACCAAACATGACACTAATCCACAACCGCTACCGCCCCGTGCGGCAGCTCGCACAGACAACCTACGGCAGCATTTGCCTCTGCACCGACGAGTTTCTACCTCCGCGTCGCGTCGTGCTCAAGAGTGTATCACTCGTTCACGCCATCAACATGTTGGACCTGCGCAGTCCTGAGCTGCAGCAGCCTGACGACCCGCGACAAGAAAAAGCCTTTGCGAATCTACAGCGCAGTAATGCAGCCCCACACCCGAATATTGTGCAGTACCTGGACGACTTTATCGAAGGCCAGACACTCTATTTCGTGCTGGAATACTGTGCCGGCGGAGACCTCGTCTCCTCTGTCAACTGTGGCCAGAACCAACGACTTGTCTGTGCTGATGCACTGGCAGTCATCAAGCAGATAGCCGCGGGTGTCGCTTATCTGCATAGTCACAGTGTCGCACACAGAGACTTGAGTCTCGAGAACGTGATGCTCAGTCGCGGAGTATGCAAAGTTGGAGACTTTGGGCTATCCACAAGGACAGATCAGCCGTCTTTTGGCCGCGTGGGCAAGGCTTATTATATGGCGCCCGAGGTGGTGGCGGCCAGAGCCGTTTATGACTCCAAAGCGGCCGATATCTGGTCGCTTGGTATTATTCTGTTCGTCCTAGTGACGGGTTCCCCGCTGGTCTCGCTGGCGAAGGAAGAGGACGCAGCCTTCAGAGCGTTCCAGAAAGTCGGTGTGCGCGAGGTGCTGGAGGCGTGGCATATGGAGGATTTACTGGAGGAGAGCGCCATACAACTCTTAAATGGTATGCTGCAGTGCAATCCGACAAAAAGACTGACTATCGAGCAGGTGCTGGATCACGAGGCATTCGAGCAAAGAACTGCAGTATAAATCGACTTTGTTGTTTAACTATGAATCAATGAGTTAATATGTAAACTTGGCCAACGAGAACATTCTACTGCGAGTATTCAACGCAAAGGAAATCATGGCGACTAGATGTGCTCCATAGTCATGCATACAAGGCGCATGTAAGATCTTTAAAGGTCATGCGAAGGCATTGGCGTTCGCAACGGTTCTTGCGTCCAAGATGTAAGGAAAAAAGTCCTCGCTCAATTTGTTTTGAGTATACCGGAGGCAACCGTAATTATTTGTTCCACTATTCTCGCGTGGTGTTTTATCGTACAACTTTCTGTTGTTAATTCGAAGTATTCAATTCGAGGAATTTGTTGTCGGTCAGCAATCAAGAAATTGAATGACAATCAAAAGCACTGTTTTTGTCCGTTGACTGTTGCAATTCTGATCACTCTTTTTTCGTGCCATGTGATATTGTCAACTATGCACTGAACTATAGTAGCGCAAGTCGGATTTTATTACCGGTTGAAGAATACGAAGATTTACGATCATTCGGGGCTCTACGTATGGCCATGGCATTCTTTGTGCTCATTTGATCCTAGGTAGAAAAGGCGATTTGGATTTGGTTCTAATAGAATAGATAATGTCTAAGGTGAACACGGATAATCCAAGCTATCTCAGCATTAATATGTAATTCTATCTGAAACGAAATCTCCTTACGCAATCAGAATTTTCTCAGTCAAATATTAAAGAAGAGTATTCGTTCCGTAGTCCCAGTTGAAGAGCTGCAGCGTTCAGCTCCTTCTTTTTATTCTATGACGATACTTCGCTAAATATTGTCTTCATTTTATTTTATAAAAATAAATGGCGCAAACAGATAAGTGATTTGAGCAAATTAGGTAGCAGGGGTTTCAATTACTGTTTGTCGCTTGGAATACAGTGCCTCGACAATCTTCATTCGTGGGAGGGATCGTTCGACAACATGTTCGAAATGATCCGTTTATTTATTTTTACAAATCACGAAAGCAAAAAAAAAAAAAAAAAAACAGTTTACTTGTCGTGGTAGTTCTTGGTCTAACTGGGTAATGCTTTCTTTCTTTTATACGTACACTAGTGGTTCTATCACATGCATTGCCAATAGAAAATGGTCAACTAAGCGAGATTGGAATAAGTATAAACAGCAGAAGAGCATCCAGTTTGAAATCCACGACATTCTTTCAGTTGTCTCCTGTCAGATTCTTGTGAAAGGTTCTTTTGCTGCACAGCTTCGTAATCGTAACATGCTTACTGCAACCACAACTTGCCACGCAACCAGCCAAGGTCCGTCACAAAACGTAGAGGCCTGTCACGAATTTGAATCGCCAGTACAAACTACCAATAGGAGTTGTATCATTTCGGCAGATCGTATGCGCAACGTAGTCTAAAATACTTGGAGATCCCAATCACTAGTAAATGGTACCGACCACGAGAAATACCGTCAGCACTAGCACAACACACCTCCAAAAAAACAAAAAGAACAAACTGTCGTCGCGCAAACACGGGGTAAATATTTTCTCACAGACACAAAAACGACATGCAAGGAGAATGAAAAGACAAAAATGACTGATATAATTTCTCTTTCAGATTGCTAAGTACCCGAACTACAAGCTTATAAGACGTAAGTGCATCACGAGGAAAATATGGATGTTAAAAATTGAATGGAGCATCTAACGTCAATAATTTGAAAAAAATAAATTGTATTTATCCACCACGTACGTTGTTTTCTGCTTTCACGAATAATTATTAAGATCACGAAATCGTCCAAACAATGTCGACATTGCGCAAAGCCTCACACTGTTGGTGTCTCCGTAAAATGTCGGGCGCGCTCTTACACAGTTTCATCAATTGAAATTCCGAACAGCAATAAACCCAACATTGCTCTTTATGAACGGTGACCACTCCACTGCATTCCAAATCTCGCCGCGCTTTGCAGTTGGAATTTCAAATAGCTTGCGGCTCCAACCTGTTGTCGACGCGTACACCATTCCATCCACGATTGCAATAGTGTTGCTGGGGTCTTGGCTCATAAAGTTGCTGTGCTGCTCCTTTTCCAGCCTTAATGATAGTCTAATTTGTCGCACCATCGTCACTTCACCAGTCATCAGTTCTTGATCCTTCTCTTCATATTTTATCTCCTTATACGCGAATAAGTCAATGTCCACGGACTGTGCATCATCTGACAGCAAACCCATATAGTCGCCGATGGACCATCCTCCCACCGTTGTGATCATCGACGACGCACCACTGGGGAGCACACGGAAAACTCGAAGTCTCTCGTTCAATACCAATTTCATCGGTGAAGCAGACATACCGTCCGAGAAAGAAAACACCGAGAGCAACGATAGGCACAATGCATTCTCTCCAATCTCCAAGTCAATGCATCCGAACTCGCGGATAAATTGAGCGATCTCTGCCATTTTAATGTTGCTGAGCACATCTCGATCGTAGATATCTCGAACTTGTACGGAGCCCGGCTAAAGCAGCGAGCGGTACTTGCAACCGCCTCGAAGCCTCTGTTTCTGTGTCTGCTGACACAACGCCGTCGCTCAATGAGTCTAGGCTGTACAGTCACCGAGGCGATTATTGTCTCCCGCACTTGAGCTGTAAAAACTTGGAAAACCCGGTTCAAGGCGCTCGTTAAAACCTGTGGACACTTGAATAGGCTGAATATTTCTGGTTGCAACGCAGCAAAGCGTTTGTGGCAGTACAAAAGCGATATCACACCATCTACAAGTGTGGGCAGTGAAGCCGACAGGCCATTTTCAGCTTGCCCATCAAAATCCGATATCATTCCGCTAAACATGATGCTCAGTGCGTCGTACACATCCACCACGAGCGAGATAAACAGCTTCTGCAGTTGTATTTTATTCACCGCATCTTTGGTCGCATGCAACGCAGAGCGGAGGAGATTCTCAACGGCATGAGATGACAATGCTAGAAGGAATAACTGGACAGTAAGTCTGATTGTCGTACTTTGGAGTGTCGGCAACGATTCTGCGTCGATATTAGACGCTGGCTTCCTACAGGATGGAGGAGTAAACACATTGGTTAAGATATCTCGGAAGAAAAAGTCCCAGATATCTTCCATCGGAGCTCTTGCCTGACTTCTTGATGCTGCCTCAGCTTGTTGTAGGCATGACCCGAGGTACATACGGATCGTATTGGCGCTGAAGACGACGTCGTTCAGTTCTATATCCGTGAAAAATGTCCACAAGATGAGCAAATACTGACTCTTGACACGGAAGTCCACCTTGTTCGCGAAAGCACTTTGCTGCCACAACCCCGTAATAAAATCCGCATCGACAATGTCCAAGACAGACTGGTCGTTATCATTGTCTTCTGCACAGGAAAGATACA